GAAAATTGCAACAATCTATCCATTACTACGGTTGGTGATATTACTCCAATTTTTAACAATATCTACCTATCATTTGAATTTTTTGATAATTTTCTTTCAGTTGGTCAGATAGTTAATAATAACTATGATGTACATTTCTCTCGTGATAGTTGTTGTGTGTAGGATCAAGTATTGGGAACGATGATCGCAACGGAGCCTAAAATTGGATGTTTGTTTCCTCTGCATATTTTCATTCCTAATAATATTTTCTTAACTTGTTCTATTATGATTTATAATAGTAAGGTGTGGCACAAACTTTTGGCACACCCCAATTCGACTGTAATGTCTTATTTGTTGAATTTTGAGTTATTAGGCAGTAAAGATCAATTCTCTTATCTTTCTTTTAATTGTGCAAATTGTAAATTGGGAAGACCAAAATTCTTCCATTTCCTATTGCTGGTAGTCATACAGATAAATACTTTGAAATTATTCATAATGATGTATGGAGAATCAAACCTATTATTTCTCATGCATTTATAAGTATTTTGTGACATTTATTGATGACCATAGTCGGTTTACTTGAATTTATTTTTTTTGTTCCAAATCTGATGTCTTTTTAATTTTTAAGACTTTTATTTCATTTGTTGAAACTCAATTTCTGCTGCTATTAAAATTCTTCAATCTAATTCTGGTGGAGAATATATGTTTAATCCGTTTCATAGATTTCTAAATGAAAAAGATATCTTCTCACAACGTTCTTACACACTTTAACAAAATGGCGTGGTGGAGTGAAAAAATCATCATCTTTTAGAAGTTACTCGTACATTGTTACTTGAATCTTCTATTCCATCTTAGTTTTGGATAAAAGCCAACAACTTATCTTATTAACAGACTACTTTCTCAAACTCTAAATTTGAAGTCTCTTTATTTTCTTCTTTATCAACAGCATCCTCACTATTGGCATCTATATATGTTTGGTTATATTTGTTTCGTTCACTTGCCCCCTCATGAACGCCATAAACTTTCTGCTCAATCTGTCAAATGTGCATTTTTAGAATACAGTATAAATCACAAAGGTTTTACTTGTTATGATTCTTCTTCCAAGAAGCTTCATGTTTCTCGTAATGTCATTTTCTTTGAAAATCAATTTTTCTTTCCCACTCATGATTAGTTATTCCCTGATCTAGTTATTCTTGCTAGTTTTGATGATTTGTCTTCTTCTCCTAATTGGTTCAAGCCTGGGTATGTGTATGAATGACATCCTTCACAACTCCCCTTTCCAAATATAGATACGCCATCTAATCCTACACCACCACCCTTGAAATGCTCCACCAGAATCTCCTGTCCTCCTAATTGGCATGGTTCTTATCATACATCATTTAGTGCTATTTTATCTTCTATTACAGTTCCATCTTCTTACTCACAAGTAGTTAAGCATGAGTATTGGCAGCAAACAATGCAAGAGGAACTTCAAGCTTTTCAGGATAATTATACTTGGGACATTATTCCATGTCCACCTACAGCCAAACCTATTTAGATGTAAGTGGGATTACTCACTCAAACTTTATTTTGATGGGACTCTTGAGCGTTATAAGACTAGGTCAATTGCCCTTAGCAATCAACAAGAATATGGGGTGGATTTTGAGGAAACATATACTCCTATGGCTAAAATGAATACTGTGTGAACAATTCTTGCAATTGCTACTTCACAGGGTTCACCACTTAAACAAATGGATGTCAAAAATGTTTTTCTACATAGTAATCTCAAATAGAATATCTATATGACACCTCCTCTCGGTTTACTCTCTTTATCTACTTTTTAAGTTTGTAAGTTGAATTACTCATTGTATGATTTAAAACAAGCTCTCCATGCATGGTTTGAGAAATTTTGATTTATCTTACTTCAATTTAAATTTGTGTAAAGTCAATATGACTTTTCTTTATTCTTGCATAAAACTTCTATAGGAATTGTGCTTTTGCCGGTTTATGTTGATAATATTGTTATCAGGGAACAAATTCTTTATTGATTACTCAACTTCAGCATCCTCTTCGCGATTCATTTCATATGAAGGATCTTGGTCAGCTTACATATTTCTTAGGGTTAGAAGTTTATTTTAACTATTCCAGTAAATTCTTACATCAACCTAAATATGCTCAAGACTTAATTTCTTTGGCTGGCCTTTAGAATTCATCAATTGATACTCCCGTGGAAATAAATGTTAAAGTACCATACGGATGAGGTAGAACTACTTTCTAATTTATCTTTGTACCAACAATTAGTAGGGAGCTTAAACTACTTAACTATTACTACACCTAACATCTCCTTTACTGTCCAACAAGTTAGTCAGTTTTTGTACTCTCCGCGAAATCTTCACTTGGCTACAATTCATTGCATCATCAAATATTTTCGTGGTTTTCCATGTCAAGGTTTATTCTTTCCTGTTGGATCTTCTATGCAACTTAATGCTTTTAGTGACGCGAATTGGGATAGTATCTAAATACTCAATGGTTTGTCACAGGTTAGTGTATGTTTTTTGGGAATTCCTTGATATAATGAAAGAGTAAGAAACAAGATTGGGTTTCCAAATCTTTCACCGAATCTGAGCATCGTGTCATGTCTGTTGCATGCTCTAAGATTACTTGGCTTAGAAAGTTGTTGACTAAGCTTGAGTTCCCT